CACAAGCTCTGGTTTCATTCGTGCGCGCGCTCGCGGAGAATGTGGAAAACGAACAAGTGTCGGTGGTTGAGTGTCCTGGCCTGAAGCCAGCCTGGTCTGCAGTTAGTCGGGAGTCGAAAGTTTGTTGGAGTCTGTTGTAGAGAAGTCTACTGAAAAAGCGGGTAAAGTAATGGTATTGTGCATCTGGCCCGATAGTTTTGCGGAAGCGTTAAATCCCCATTCTTAGGAATGTCCGTGACGACAATGCTCTTCCAGCTGGTCGGCGGCGGAGCGTCGGACTGGATGATCGCGTTGTAGAGATGGAGAAGTGCGCCGTGCAATTCTTCTGTGCCTTCCTTCAACATTTCTGCTCGTAGGCCGTTGGTGTCTGGAGCCTTACCAAGCCGGAGCCCTCTTATCGCCTTATCCAACTCTTCGCCAGTGAAGAGTGGGAGGTCGTCGCTGCGTCGCTCTCGTTGCGTCGGCTTGGCCGTTGTGTCGTATAACGGCTTGTAAAACTCCGCACATATGTCTGCAATGTCTTGCCGGGCCGTGCGTTTTGAGCCTCCTTTGTCTGTCATGTGAGTGATGAGGTTATGTTTTCTGCGTGTCTTGATGCGCGGGATACTTTTGAGGTCTCTGAACTGTTCAAGCGCGTTTCCTATATGGGCCCGTCGTGTCCGCCGCTTCTGTGCGCGGACCTCCTGCTGTATCAATTTGCTGAATTGCTTGTGGGTGCGGAAGTCGTTGTTTGGTGTCTGGTGTCGCTGTGTGATGAGGAAACGTAGACGTTCTGCTCCTCTGTCTGGTTGTCGGTTTGGCTGTGGTGCTCCAGCGCTGCTAGCGGCGGCGGCGGCGTCGATGAGAACTTGTTGGGTGTGCTCGTCCAGGGATTGTGGGTCGATTGGTAGTTCGTCTGGTTTCAGGCGTCGTCTTTGGTGGTCGTGGTAGACGTTCACATTGATGATCTTGCCAGTGGAGGCGTTGGGTGGTGCACGTCTGCGCTGTCGTTGGTCGTCGTCTCGTCGCGGTCGTTTTGTTACCATTGCTTCTGGTACCTTCAACTCAGTGATGACAGCCTTGTGGTCGGATCCCAGGTCGGTCACGTTGTTGGCCTCGGCATTGGTGCAATGTTTGAAGAGCTTGCGGTTGAGCAAAATGTAATCGAGCTGGTTCTGCTTGTCGCCGCTGATGTAAGTAATCTGCTTATGCATATGCTTTCGGAAAAACGTACTGGCAAGCACAAGCCCTTCTTGGACAGCCCAGTGTCGCAACCATGTACCCCTCGAGTTTTCGATCCTATATCCGTGGCGGCCGGCACACCTGGAAGTGATGAGGTCGTCGTCGTCGCCGCCGTCTACTGATATACGGGATTCCCCAACCTGCGCGTTGAAGCGCCAGCGAGTATGATATGACGACGTGCTTTGGTGCTCTCTATCTCTCTCTCTCTCTGTGAATCTCGTGGATCGCGTCGTACATGCGCTGAATGTGCGGGTCGGTGCACCCAGAGTGTGGAAAATATGCGGACACCAATTGCAATTCAACCGCCCTCTTTTCAACAGCATCGTGGCGAGTCTTGGCGAGTGGGCTTCAAATCTGTCGATGCTCTTTCCCGAACGTTTGCGTATAAGAATAGCATATCCGTGGCACGCCTGGTCATTGCCAGATCCAGCAAACGTATGCCCTTCCACGATTGTCCATAATTCCGTTGTAGTCGTCCTCCATGTCTCAATGGCAATTCTCGAGCTCTGCGATGAATTCGTTGACCCAGTCGTCTGTCGTAAGTGCCCGACCATTTTGGTGAATGACCGTTATGCGTATGTGCTGTCGGTGCTCATCTATGGTCGGTGTCCTTTTTGTTGGTGCTGCTGGTTGGTCGTGGTCGGCGCTGGTCTGGATTGCTTGGTGTTGGCTTGTCGTTGCTAGTTGGCTGTCTTGCTGTTGTGTGTGTGAGGTCTGCGGTTGATTGGGTGTGTTGCTGGTGGTACTGGTCTGGAGGCGGTTGCGTCGTTGTTTGCTCGTCGTTGTTAGTCAGTGCTGGATGGTGTGAACTTGCTAGTGTTAGTCGGTGCCACTGCTGGCGCTGGTGGTCGGTGCTGGTCGGTGGTGGTGGTTTGGTTAAGTGTTGCTGGTCTTGTTGGTCGGTGGTCAGTGTTCTTGGTTGTGGTGGTTGGCTGCGGTCGAGGTTTGCTGGTTGTGATTGCTCGTGGTAGTCGGTCGCTGCTGGTCGATGGTGCTGTTGCCGTTTGTGGTGGTCAGTGCTATTCGGCAGTGGAGTGTGCTGTGCTGTGAAAATGCTCAGTGGCACGTCGCCGTCTGCATGTGCAAAGCCCTTCCTGCCACCGCCTGTGCTGCGTGCCGGCATTGTCGTCGAAGGTGGTCGCGATGTTGGCTTTGACGATGTAGGTCCCGAGAGCTGACTTCCTTTCAGAGGGGGGCTCAACAAGTAAATCATCGAATTCGTCCTGCAGGGCACTCTCAAAAGTCTCAGCGTCCCTGGGAAGATTCGTCCTGGGACTCCATTTGGAGAGAAGGGGGCCAGGGAATGGAAACCAGGGCCCAGCTCGGCCGCGAGGGCCCCGCTCGGGCGCCCCTCGGGCACCTCGGCGGGCCCAGGCAGGGGCCGAGGGGGAGGGGCAGGGAGGAGGCGGGAGGGAGGAACCCTGCAAGAGAGGAGAAAGCCCGGGTGAGGAGGAGGACCAGCAGGAGCAGGAGCAGGAGCACGAGGAGGAGGAGGAGGAGGAGGACCAGCAGCTAGAGCAAGGATGGCCGCACGGTGAGGAGGGCCAGGAGGGTGGAGGTGGAGAGAAGAGGGGGCGGATCATGAAGAAGGAAAGGGGGGACAGGAGGTGGAGCATGCCCCGAATGGTTGCTTGTTCCAGGAGAAGAGGGAAAATATAACCCCAAGGAGAAGAAGAGGAGGGACGACGACAAGGAGGAGGAGGAGCACCCCAAGGACGACCCCAAGGAGAAGAAGAGGAGGGACGACGACGACCATGAGGAAAGAAGGGGAGGAGGAGCAGAAGCAGCGGCGGGCGGAGAAACCAAACGGCGGACAAGAGGAAGGACCACGACAAGGAGAGAAATGAGCGACTGCCCAGGCCTTCCTCCCCCCCTCCACCTCCTTCTCCTCCTCCCTCTTGCCCCCTCGAGGTAAAGCTCACAAGCTATCAAGCAGGACGGGTTCGCACGGTGCGTCCTGGAGCGTCCCGGATCGGCGGCACAGGCCGGAGGCCTCTACAATAGGCACAGAGGGAGCCGGCGAAAAAGACTGCACCTGGCGCGACCGCTGTGAAGGGGAACGCTTTCTAAGCGGCGCTGCTTGACTTGACACTGCTTGGCAGACAGAGAAGAGAGAGAGAGAGAGAGAAAGAAACAAAAAAAAAGAGAGAAAGAGAGAGAGAGAGAGAGAAAAGAGAGAGAGAGAGAGAGAGAAAAAAAAGATATAGAGAGAGAGAGAGAAAGAGAGAGAGAGAGAGAAGAGAGAGACAGAGAAAAGAGAGAGAGAGAGAGAACAAAAAAAACAGAGAAAGAGAGAGAGAGAGGGAGAGACCGGCAGGAGCGCCGGCTCCCCGGGGAAGACCGTCGGCCCCCCCGCTTTCCTGTGAGGATGTCCTGCCGCCTGGGGAACGGCAGAGAACGTCCTCCAGGGAGTCGAGCCTCCAGGGGAGCAAACAATGACATTAACATTACACCTGAGAAAACCCAATCAGTGGATGATTTGAAAATCGATACTATGGATCTTGGGATCGATTGTGAGATCGATAACGAGATCGATAGTGGAATCGATAGAGAGGACGATTGTAAGGTCGATCGTGAGGCCGAGAGTGAAATCGATTCAATGAGATCGATGGTGAGATCGATCGCGAGATCGCTCATGCGATCTCTAGTGAGATCGCTTGTGATATTGATAGTGAGATCGATTGTGAGATCGATTGTGAGATCGATCGAGAAGTCGGTAATGAGATCGATGGTGAGAGCGATCGATAAGAAGATCGACCAGGAACCCAGGAGCCCAGGAACCTCGCCGCCCTCCGAAATCGGCCAAGGAACCGGAAACCCGGGAACCCGGAACCGGGAACCCAGGAACCCGGAAACCCAGCCTGCCACCAAAGTCGGCGGGGAACTTTCGCCAAATCCTTCAATTTCCGCGAGGATCCCTTCAATGCAAGCACTAATTGGGGAATAAGAACTCGGAGGTCCGCGCAGCTTTCTCGGATCGGCGCTAGACCCCCCTCCCTCCTTCCTAGCGCGCGGGGCTTGCCAGGGGCGGCGCCAGAAGCGCCGCCAGGGGACCCATCGGTTGCTTCCCGAGCTTTTGTCCAGGGAACCGGCACTTCCACTGGGGAGCCACGCTGACTCAGACAGAGAGGTCGGGGGTTGCCAAAGGTGCCCCTGGCCCAGGGTGCCCCCAGCTTTCCGATCCACTCTGGAGCCCCATGGGGCCATCTGGGCCTCGTGATAGGGGTGCTCTGGAGGCCTTGGTGGCCTCCTTGGCACATTGGGATAGGGGCACATGGGCACATCTAGCTACACCCGAAAATCGGCCCCGAACCGCGGCGTGCACCCACGGTGCACCCGCGCCACCGGCGCATCGACCGCCCGGGTGGACCACAGCATGTCTGGGGGGAGGCCCGGGCCCCGAGAACGTTCGTTAGCGTTAACCGGGAGGGGGGAGGGGGGGCAAAAAACCCGCTCACCGGGGGCACAGTGGGCAAGGGGCACTTCCAGCAACACCCGAAAAGGCATCGTCACCGTCGTCGTCGTCGTCGCCGTCGTCGTCGTCGTCGTCGTCGTCGTCGTCTCGTCGTCGTCTCGTCATCGTGGTGGTGGTGGTGGTCGTGGTCGTGGTCGTGGTGGTGGTCGCGGTCGTGGTCGTGGTCGTGGTCGTGGTCGTCGTCGTGGTCGTGGTCGTGGTCGTCGTCGTCCTCTTCGTCCTCGTCGTCGTCGCCGTCGTCCTCCTCGTCGTCGTCGTCCTCGTCGTCGTCCTCCTCCTCCTCCTCGTCGTCGGTTCGCGCCACCTGCGGCCCACGCGTTCGGCATGGGGGCGGCGCCGCTCGAGGCGCGGCCACCCAGGGCGCTGCCGCCTGGCCGTCCGCCCGTGCTGCTGCCCCAACGGGGACGGCGACGGCGACGACGACGACGATGAGGAAGAGGAGGAGGAGGACGACAACGACGACGACGCGACGACGACGACGAGGACGAGGGTAAGGACGACGACGTCGTCGAGGACGACGAGGCCGAGGACGAGGACGACAACGACGAGGACGACGAGGCCGAGGACGAGGATGACGACGAAGTCAACGACGAGGACGAGGATGGGGATGAAGACGAGGACGACGGCGACCCGAGAGGGACATCACGGCGCTCCTGGGGGCGGCAGCTAAGCCCTGGTCACTGGCCTCTCTCGCCTCCCTGCCTACTGCCGATGCTGCTCGGCACAGCCTGGAGGTGGTGCCGCTGCTGCTGCTACTGCTAGTGCTGCTGCTCTTTGGTTGGCCTTAAAGGGGGTCCAGCTGAAAGGGGGTGGTGCAATAAGTTTGGGACAATTGCAAATGTACTGCGCTAGAGACTTGTATTGCAGTGTATTGCAATGAATGCATTGCACGCGAAAATCCAACAATACACTTGCGCATCATGATGTAGTGCACGCTCCAAGTCTATTGCAACCCTACAGATCTATTGCACCAAATCTATTGCACCACCCCCCTTCGTTGGACCCCCTTCTGGGTCAACCAGGTGCTGCTCCTCCTCCTCCTCCTCGTCCTCCTCCTCCTCCTTCTCCTCGTGATCGTCGTCATCCACCTCCTCCTCCTCCTCCTCCTCCTCCTCCTCCTCCTCCTCCTCCTCCTCCTCCTCCTCGTGATCGTCGTCATCGTCCCCCTCCTCCTCCAGGGCAGGCGCAGGCGAGGTGGCGACTGCCGGGCCGGCCACATCCCGGGCCCTGCCGTGCCGATGGGGAGCGCGTCGCCAGCTGCAGTGATGGGATTTGTGCCGACGACGACGACGACGACCACGACCACGACCACGACCACGACCACGACCACGACGACGACGACGACGACGACGACGACGACCACGAAGACGCCGACGAAGACGACGACGACGAGGAGGACGAGCACACGAGGAGGCAGGCAGTGGCAGCAGCGCTGTTGCAGCCAGCAGGGGATTCGCGGAGGCTTCACCTCATCCATGCCGCAAGATCCGGATCGTGCGAGAAGGAAACACGCACGAGATCCTGAGAAGGTGGAGTCTGATCTTGTGAAAAGGCAGGCGGTGGCAGCTGCCAGACAGGGCTTGTGGGCGACATTCCAGACACAATTATAGGGATCAGCTCATGCGCGACGGACGCACGTGGAAGAATATCAACTACGATGCGGAAATCCGATCGTGCAAGAGGGTAGGCAGTGGCAGCAGGCTCTGTTGCTGCAAGGCGGGGATCGTGGGAGACATCTCTGCTACAATGCGAATGTCAGCTCATGCGAAAATTGATGCTAGAATGGCGAGCATGAAAGAGGATCGTCAGCTTCAAAGCTGGGGTAAGCTTGTGCAAAAAGGCGGGCAGCGGCATCGCAGTATGGCACTGCCAGCGGGCCGATCGTGGAAGAGGTCCAGCAGATGAGGTGTGTGGGAAGATCGTGAGGGGAAGAAAGGCAGCGGCAGAAGGTACTGCTAATGCCACCAGGGGAGAAGACCAGCGTAAAGGCAGGGATCATCTCTTGCGAAAATGCACACTGTGGCAGCAGGCCCATATTGCTGTATGCTGCTGCATCGGCCCAATGCAGGAATCAAATGGGTTCGGCTCGCACGAGAAGGCGGGCAGTCGCAGCAGGTGGCACTGCTAGAACGGCGGTCGCGGAAGAGAAGCATCAGCTACAACGCAATGACCACCTCGTGCGAGAAGGCAGGCAGTGGCAGCAACTAGCACTGCAAACGGGGCAAGCGTGCGAGAGGATCATCAGCTACAGTGCATGGATCAGCTCGCGCCACAGGCCAGGCGTTGGCAACGCAACATTCAAAACAAAGGAGCTGGTGGAACCAGGATCGGCCACTACAGCAGGCAATGGCAGATGCGGTGCCCCTCAAAGGCACACAGGCCGAGCGGGCACGAGAAGTGGCGAAGAGTGGGACGGCGGTGAAGCAACGCCTGGCCCGACGACGCGGGCCCCTGCTGGGACCCGGATCTGCGTGAGGGTTGGCAGTGGCAGCTGTGCTGCACCGCAAAAGCATGTGGTCCGTGCGGGGTGAAGCGAAGCACAACGTCGTCGGCTTCACAGTCTTGGACTCGCCTCGCGCGGAACGGCAAGGGAAATGAGGGCTGGTTGGCAAGGCATGCCAGCGGGACGTCGAGAGGGGGTGCACAGTGCCGTCAGCGACCATCAGCTGCATTACAGTGGGAGCTCGACCACGAGAAACCTTCCACAAGAAACCCAACCCTGAGACCCCAGGACGTCCATTGATTTTTGGTGTGGGAACGTCACGCTTTCCATAGCAGAACCATCGAAACCCAAGAAACCCGGGGCACCCTGGAGGCAAGCAGGGTGTTTCTTGGCATGGGTTTCCACTGGACCACCCTTCTCATCACCTGCGGTGCTGGAACCAGCTCGTGCGCAAGGGGGCAACGTGACTTCTTCAGGGCCACCGGCTCGCCCCGTGGCTACGCACGGCCCGCGATGGCCGATGGCGTCGGGCTTCCGCCATTCGCTACAGCCACTATGTCTAGCTGTGTCTATGTCATCCTCCTTCTCGTCCTCCACCCTCGTTCCCTCCTCCCCTCCTCCCTCCATTCATCCATTGCTTCACCACACCCATTCCTCAACAATTGTTCCTCGTTCCTCATCCCTCCTCCTACGGTCTCCATCCTGTTCCTCTTCCTCGTCCTCCTTCCCTGCGTGCTCATACACCTCACAATCACCATCACCATCACAACAGCTATTACCGTCAGCACCTTCCCTCTTCATATCTCTTTGTAACGAGTCATCATACAGCCCCAGGACGAAAGTGTTTCCTCTTGGACCGAGAACGACGGTATGAAGTCTTGAGCACACGCGTAAAAGATAACCACCGTCGGACCCAACTCAATTCGCGAGGATCAGATGTTGGTTTGGGTTTTTGGTTCGGCAGATCCGATTTGTGTCCGCGCGGATGCAATTGCGGATGTTCTGGATCCGCGTCCGCACTGATTCTTCAAACGGCGGATCCGATCTCTAACTCGTTTTCCCTTTTTTTATCTATATATATATATGATGATTTTATATATATATATATATATATATAACGGAGAACCAGAATGATTCGGATCCGCGGGCCCCGCGACCCGCCCGTGTTAAGGTTCTTCGGGGGACGGGGGGGGGTCGGTTATCAACTTTCCAGGATGGGTCCTGCTCTGTCTCGCGCACTCCCATCAGGTCTCCGCGCGCGCGGGCCACACTCAAAATGAATGCATCTCTCTCCTCCCAGTTGCTGCAAACAGCTCATATGGTCGCCGTCCGTTTGGCGGCGCCGACGTTGTCTCGCGAACTCCTTATCGCCATCTTCACCTCAAGGGGAAAATCTAAATCTTTCGTCCTGCGTGTGGCATCATTATCATGGTCCTCATCCTGCTCCTCCTCCTACCCCTCCTGCCCCCATCCGCATAATCCTCCTGGTCAACATCACTATCCTCATTCCTGTCTCATCCTTCTCCCGCCCCATCCTTCTCCCGCCCCTCCTCGTGCCCATCGGCCTCCTCTTCCCCCTCTCCTCCTCCCGCACTCCCCCCCCCCGTCCTTCCCGTCCGCCTCTTCCCCACTCCACCGCCGCATCGTCCTCGTCGCCCTCCTCATGGTCCTTGGCTACCCCATATCCTGACAATCCTTCTGACCACCCGTCCAACGACCACGTTTCTCCTGATCCTCATGTTCCTCCGCCTCCGCCTCCGCCTCCTCGCCCACCTCCTCCTCTTCCTCCTCCATATCTCTTCACCATCATCTTCATCCTGCTCTCCTCTCGCATCATCATCACTGGTCTTCCCACCACCATCATCATCGTCATGATAACAAACATCACCACCATAAAGTTCATCATTGCCGTCGTCATCACCAAACTCATCATCCCCATCATCATCCTCGTCATACCCATCCTCCGCATCATTATCAGCACCCTCAGCATCCGCATCGACATCATCATCATGATCATCACTACTCCCATCGTCATGGTCATCGTCATCATCACCAGCATCAACACCACCACCATCACCGTCAGCATCATCATCAGCAGCAGCATACGTAACTATCATCATCATTACCATTACCATCACCATCACCGTCATCACCACAATCATCAGTCTCATCATCATCACCACCACCATCATCATGACTATCATCATCATCAGCATCATCATCATCATCCTCATCATCATCAGTATCAGCATCATCATCATCATCAGCAGCATCATCATCATCACCAGCATCAGCATCATCATGATCAGCATCAGCATCAGCATCAACATCATCATCAGCATCATCATCATTATCGTCCTCCTCATCAGCATCGTCATCGAAAGCCGCCCGAGCTCAGACCTTTGGAGATTCAGCGGTCTCCCCAACAACGCCCCCTTGCCCCATACAGAAGCGGAGGGCCCTTCGACGGCAGCACACCCCACCAGAGGCCATAATGCAGGCTGTGCTCCAGGCTGCGGGCACCGAGCGCCGGACGGCATGGTGAGGAGGTTTCCGATGGAGCTGACACGGACCCCAACACGCGATGTCGCTCCCTCGTCTGGGGCGAGGCGCTCGCGCGCTCAAGCGCGCCGGCAACGTGTCCGCGGTCGCCACGTCCGCCATTGAGCCGCCCTAGGCCTTCCGCCTGGCCCGACGCACGCGAGGGGTCAGCTCAATCAGAACATGCCGATTTGGATGCGCTAGCCCGAGGACGTCACATACGAGAGTAGACTGCCTTCTACACGTCCCTGTACAACGACGGGGAGAACCACGTGGCCACGAAGCACTTCAGCATCGAAGGGCCGCTCGACATCCACGCGCTGATCTTCGTGCCTCTGCTCTGGCCGAGCGCTCCGCGGCGCCGCCCTCGCCCAGCGCGCCGGCCGCGGCCGCGCCAGCAGCGCGCCCGGCCAGGCCGCCCCGCGCCGCCACCCCCGCCGCCCGCCGCGGCGCCCGCTCTGCGGCCGCGCACGCGTAGCCTCTCCGTGCGCCGCGAGGCCGCGCCCGCCGCCGCCGCCGCCTCGCTCAGGCCCATCGAGGGCCTCTCCGCCAACTTTGCGCCGAGAGCCGAGCCTCGCCCAGCACCTCTGCCCCTCCTCCCGTTCCTCCACCTCTGCGCCGAGAGCCTAGCCTCGCCGCGCACCTCTCCCCCTCCTGCCGCTCCTCCTCCT